TCCCTTGCGTCTGCTGGTACCCGTCGCTCTCGGTGAATTGGTAGCAGGTTTCTGAACGTTACCGACCACGTCGGGTTTTCTCAGGTCCAGGGGTGCAGCCTTGGGCTCAGTAGACATACTGTCCCGCTGATCCATCAGACTGGACGTCACGGGAACCTCGTTCATCTTTGATACCTCGTTGTCGAGAGACTCGTCGGTGATACCATTCGGCGTCTTGCTCCCGTTCACGCACCTCACCACGAGATCCTGCGGCATGTCCTCCGACATCTTCTCCTCTTCTATCACCTTCAGATAGTCTATCAGCGTGGTAGACTTTATTCGATCCAGTTGCTTCTCCGCACTGCTCTCCTCGAAGGTGGAGAAGTGCGTGAGAGGGAAACCAGGGAAGAGCTGATTGTACGAGAACGCGATCGCAGACTGGTTCTGCCCGACGCCGTTCAATCCACTCGCGGAGGTCACGTTGTTCGCGGTATTCGCACTGCTTATGCCGTTCATAGGGTAAATCGGCAAGTGGTGACTGACCGGCGAGATCTGAGGCGGAACCACGAGCTGAGGCGACGACATCGGGATCTGCATGTTGTTGTTGATCGTCGCGTTGTTGCTCTGACCGATGTCGTCCTGAGACTTGATAGACTTCTGCTTGGGACCCCGTCGGGTGCCGTAGACGTCGATGATGGGCAACGGGTTCGGCGAGCCGTCCGCGTTCAACACCATCGCCGGCTGATGCGAGTACTTCCTCAGATGAAGCTTCAACGAGTGACAGTACTTGGTAGCGTAGGAGCAGTTGGCGCATCTGTACTGATAAATGTTCGAGTGGGACTTGAGGTGGCTATTCAGCATCGATTTGTTCACGCACGAGTAGGAACACTTGTCGCATTTGAACGGTTTCGAGCCGAAGTGATTGCGCAGGTGGTACTCCAGGTGATGCTTGTACTCGGTGACGAAAGGGCACTTGGGACAGGTGAGCAGCTTCTCGGCCTTGATGTGGCCGCGACTGTGCTCCCAGAATTCGAGCTTCGTGATAGCCACGAAGTTGCACTGCTTGCATCTGAAAGTCTTCACTTTACCCTGCGAGTTCAGTCTTCCGATTCTTGCTCGGAACGTTCGCCCTGGGTCGGCGACGATCTGTTCTCGTCTTGGAAGGATCCTGGCGGCATGGACAGCTGGCTGAGCACCGACTTCACGAAATCCGGCGTGTCGCACTTGGTCGTGCAATGCGTCGTCAAGTGCTCGGTGAAGTTTAACCTGCGAAAGGGAAACGTGTCCTTTGAGAAGCAAGTTTCCTCGCCGCGTCTTCCTCCGTTTTCGTATCGTTGCGCAAGGTAAAGGAAGAACGATTTACCTATTCAACGTGGTGAAAGCGCAAATAGGACACTGCAAGATGTCCTGGCCGAGTTCCACGTCATCGTTGGATGGTTTGACCGTGCTGGAAACGACGTCTATCGCCGGTTCCGGCTGGTGCTCGTCCATCGCGTGATGCCTCGTGTACTCGAACATACTCTGCGGACTGTAGTCGAACGTGCTGCACTGCATGTTATTCGAGTCCTGCGAGGTCGCGCTACCCGGCGACAGGCTGCAGTTTGCCGTGGACGACGATCTTCTGCTTCTAGGTGACACAGAGTTGCTCGTGTAGTGGTCAGGTGACACACCTGAGTCGTTGTTTTTGTCTTCGCTCGGTTCCTCTTTCTGCGAAATGAAGAAGGCAAAAGTCACGCGTTTCATCGATCCAATTCATTTCCCTCGTGTACGATAAACACTCTGGCTCCGAGAGAGCGGAAATAGACCAGAGATGGAAAGAAAGTTTCGAGAGCGAAGTTGCAAGATGGAAAGCAAAGCTACGAAGAGTTAACGGAGTCCATCGAGTTAAGCGAAAGGACATTTTGTCGATCCAGGAAGGGGAAGGAAGGGAGGGAGCTGCGGTTGGGGGATGAAAAAACGAGAGGGTGAACGAAACGGGGGATGCTAGCGAAGAGAGAGAGAAAGAGAGAGAGAGCGAGATGAATAAGTTAAAGAAGAGAAAGGAGGAGAAGGTCGGATCGGTGAGGGGTTGAAACGATTACTCACCACGATCCTATCGGCGATACCCCAAGCGGGCGTGGTTGGCGAATGGAGGGGATGGCGTTGCTCTTCGACAATGGTTTGTTGCTGTTGCTGCCGTTGCTGATTTGGCGCGTGTACCAAAGGCTCCGCCGCGTCCCAATTCCCTCTCATCTTGCCACTCTGTTTACCAAAGTAAATAAGAAATTATTAATCGCGTCTACCTTTCTCTCCGGATTTACAACGCGTTTAAACAGAGGCTCAAACACGGCGATTAACGCGACCATTCGCGAATGATCCTCGACACAGCGAGACACCCCGTTACCGTAAAATTCGAACCAAGAGAGAAACAAAAATTTTCCTCACGGATTAGGACATTAGGAAGGATGGAAAGATTCGACCGTCGGGGGTAGGAAATTTGTATGGAATAAAGAAACAGGTGGAAAGATTGGACTCGAATCGATCTTTGTTGCAATACGGTCGAAAAGGGTTAGCGTCTGCGACGATTGTGCGAATTTCCGCGAAGAAGGGTACAGACCGTGGCAAATAGCCTGTGCCTATTCTAAAGCAAATTCCGGGTAAAATCATTTCACGATGTTTGCCTGTTGTCCCCGTCGTCCTTTCGCCTCGCGCGCACTAGAAGACCGAATCCTTCCCGGCGTATGGAATGCTCTGGCTAATTTATTCAAAGCAAAGCAACGAGTAGCGAAATTGTTTCGATCGGGGACCCGTGTGTCATTCACGGATTCCGGGAAACGCCAGAGACTATCCTACGATTTCTTGCCCGAGATTTACGTTACTCTCCTAATCGATCCTCGACTCCTTTGCTCGCGCGTATCTTACGAAAACCGATCGACTCGATCGATCCTGTGAATTCGATAGAAATCGAATCGCGTTTACGACGTGGCGCAGAATAAAAGCTGCAGGATGAAGTTAAACTTCGGCTAATAAACGAAGGCAAATTTAGTGTGTCCCTTCGGCCACTGTCCAAAGGACGAACGGTACTAGGGTTAAGGACTACCTCGTTTATTCAAGTAGAGCACGCTTAAAAGCCCGCAGAGAAGACCGAGGTTGGGAGATCCCGCTTTTGACTTCTGCCAGAAATCTCATTGTTCCTTCACCCCGTGCGACGGCGGTCGTAAATAAAATTCAAAAGACAGTTGATAGCCGAAAGTTGACCCTCGTAACAACGAGGTCTCGCCGGGATAAGCCTAGCAATTATGCTCGAGCAATCGCTGATCCAACGATCGAAGAATCTCGCGTCGACCATTCGCTGCGGAATTGTTTCGGCGACGCAGGAACGCTCGCATTCCATAGCAAGAACGCTTACGAGTCGATCAAAGCGGACTCCTTCGTGCTCGTTCGAACAGGGAGAAAAAAGACTTTGGCAAAGGTCGACGGGAGAGAGCCTTTCGAAATTCCGAGCATAATCACAACAGTAAATAGAAAAGCTACGACAAAGGGACGGAACAGGTACGCGTACTCGCCGACACATACGACTTACTCGAGACCAACAATTGCGAATAAAAATACCGTCGTACATGCTGAAACTCGAAGGATCGAGTTGGATAAATTTAATTTCGCGATTAAATCCTGGCTAATAATCGCGACGTAATGTTTATTTATGTACGTGTATTTCGTGTCACACACGGACACCAAAGACGATGAACGCGTGTACGCGTGTAAATTTTAAAAGGCCGAGGGCACGTTGCGGCAAACGCGGATTTCAGGCCGATCAGGGAAAACAATCGGCGAACATCAGCCGCCGACTACGTGTCTCTCCGTCCGTTTTTAATTTTAAAAAACAAAAAAAAAGAGGGAAAACAAAAAAGCAAAAAAAAAAGGAAAACAAAGGAAAAGTAACGGACAGATAGGACGGCGAGATTCGCGACCAAATTCACGAGGAAACATATGTACAACGTTTGTTTTTCCGATATCCTTGTTGCTCCCGACATGTTGAATTTTCTCCGTGTTTGTTTCTACCGATCCCGTACACGATGTCATTGCCGTACGTGGACACTTTTCGAAACACGCGAACTAAACAACGGCCAATTTCGACACGTATACCTCGACAGGATAGTCGATGGTTCCCGGAAGGGACTGGGAAAGAAACTGAAAACCAACGTCGTTACGACTATGTACGTTCGACACGACACACGCGCGCACCAGGGATCGAATTTTATTTCATCCGATGGAACAAACGAGCAGCGTAAAAAATGCGTGATCGAGCGCGGGTCTATGAAAACACAGGCGCGTGCGAGAGAGAAAAAGATCCCGTCCGTGGATCCTCCCATGGATCATCCAAAATGATACTGATTCGCTGGATACGAAGCTTCGATCTTCCTTCTTTCGCGATCACCAACCGATCCACGGACGCAGGATCGTCGGGCTCGTAGTCACGTTTAGGTCACAAACAAACACGTTCGTTCACAGTAGAACCGAATTACGGAAAATAACGAGTGGACGAACCTCGAACTCGGAGTCTCCAGCTTCCTCCAACTCTGGAGACGAGGCGTTCAAGTTGATCCTGGATCGGCACTATCGGCACTGACTGGGAAAGAGGAAGAGGGAGAGAGATAAAAAAGAGAGAAGGAGAGAAACGGAGATAAAATAGACGTAACAAGTGAACACGACTCCTCGACCCGGCCTCGAGTTCCGCGTGAATGCTCGAGGTCGACTGACAACGTCCTAAGTCCCAAAATGGAATACCGGCTTATTTGTGGATCGTGCCGAGAGGGCAGCTACCCTCTCCCTACGGCCGAGACCGCTTGTCCAATCGCAGCTAGGCCATCGTCCGGATTCATAAAGGTTTTTGAATACCCCACCCTTAACCACGCCATGGCTCCTGCCGATTCCACGCTCGCCGCACTTTTTCCCTTCATCCGCGCCCTCTCTCGACCCCTTACTTTTATCACTCGTCCTCTTCCAACCTCTTCCAACGTCTTTAAACCTCTCCCAAACTCCTCTTTATCATCCTCCCGTCGCGTCAACCCTTTTCCAGTCCCCCTACCACACACACCGATGTTTCCCCGGCCATCGCGGATGCTCCTTCCCGCTCCGGTAGCGCCCATGCTCGAGGTCGCTGCGAGTACGCAATGTTTGTATCGTATCCACGGAATCGATTTCGATTATTTACAATTTTTTTACCCACCCGAACGCCGCTGTTTCTTCTCGTCACGTTCGAACGAGCCTCGCGAATCTCACGGTACGAGGAAGAACGGAGCTGGAGAGCGAAGTAAGGAGTTCTGAAATGCGGAGCATGGTGTAATTAGCGTCGACGATTTCGTGTTCGGGGAAAGAAAAGGAAAATACAGCGTCGATACGCGTGCGCACCCTTTTCTTTTTCCGTCCGTAGACAGTCTGTGCTTTCTCTCCCGTTAGACGGATCGCACCCTTTCCCCCGGCTCGGGAAAACATCCAGCAGGACCATTAAGCCCGAGTCCGATGATCCCGGTGTCGAAAATTACCGGGGAGACGGTGGAGGAAAACTCTGCGAGTTTCCGTTCCACCGAACCGACCACGAGCAAAAGGGGATGAAAGGGGAGCAGGGGAAACGCGCGAAAGTCCCGACGGAAGAGTGAAATTCGAGTGTGTTTTCCGTGTCTTCTGGCAGGAAATGGCATGCGAAAGCGTGCCCTTGAGGCTGCTCGTTTCGAGGCCCGACGTCTTTGACCAACAGGTACACAGGTCTACGCTATAAATCGTCCTTTAACCCTTTCGAAGCTGGGCGGGGGAGGAAAAAATCTGGAGGCCGTAAAGGCTTCATCAAAAAATCCCCTTCAACCCTTTCTCTCTAATCTGCTTTTCCAGAAAACGGACCCGGTTCCTCCGTGTTTACGACGCTTTTACAGTTACGCTGTTTTCGTGGGCTGAAAAAAGAGAGGGGCGTATGCATTTCTAACTGTTTACCCGTTTCTTGTCCATCCGGAGAACGCGCAGTAACCCTTCATCGACCTTGTTTTCCCGAAGCCGACAAAAAGCCTACTTTCCCGCCCGTAAACTCTCCACTCTCGAGGATTTTTATGTTCCGTTATAACGAATTACGAATTACGAATTGCACGGCAATAAATCGAGAAAAATCGAAGATTTGCCAAGTTTTCCGCACCCTCGACCCACGTTCGTTACCCTGCGATCCAGTTTTGCATTCCCCGAGGCAAGGCTTCCTAGCCTGTTTACGACGGGCCGAAAATTAAACGTAAAACGCAATAAATAATCGTGGTCTGGACGTATTTGCTGCGACGCTCAAGCGTCTTCGCACCCCCGTACCCCTTCGCGACGGTACCCCGACCTCATTGTTCTTTCCGCTCTCGCCGTGGTGTACGGAGTAACGTTTTCGTCATAAATACAACGAGAGTGGAAACGCGCGGGAACGTTTGCTCGGACGAGCCAGCGACAATCAGCCGTGGTAATAAATAACGCGATTAGCCTACCATGTTCTACATTTCCAGCTACACCGGTACGAACCCTTGAACAATCGCCTCGACCCACCCGAAATCCAGCTACGGATACAGTCCACGTTTACCCAGCCTTTCAAACTTCTCTCCGCATTGTTCTATAATCCTTTCTTTCGCTTTGATTTGCATTCCAGGCTCTTCGAAAAATCGTCTTTCCCATTAGCCCGTGAACAGACTCGCGCGAACTATGTAAACGCCTCGCTTCGAAAATTGCCGAGTTCGCTCGTCTTCCTCGTACTTCGAGGCAAAGATCAACGCCTCGTGTTTATTCTTCGCCCGACTTTTTCGACGATATTGATTGCAGGCACGATTAACTTGGAAAATTCCGGGAACCTATGAATAGAGGGTAATAGGACTTCGTGCAAGTTTGTGTAAATTCGCAAAGACAATAGAAGGGTACGCTAATCAGGGCGGAATCGACCCACCGCGCTCGTAAGAGGACAAAAGATCGCAGGTCTAAATGCACCCGTTCCAGGAAGGAGCGATTATTTTTATTGTGCCACCTTCCACACGGTCGAAGATGAGTGTAATTGGATTTCCGCTATTTCGGCAATGAAAAAACCGCAATTTATGAATGGACAATAAGCCGCTGGCCGGAGTATTGTAGTCCTCGTGTTTGTATCGGCGAAATCCAATTAGCTCGATCAATGCGCGCTTCCAGGCTCGTCCTCTCAAATTGCCGCGATCTTTTCAATCCGTCCATACGTTCGTCGAAAGTCA